CCTTCAGATGTTTTGCCTGAACCCCAAAAAGATGATAAGCTACATGTGAATAAAACATCAGGGCTCTTTCCTAACAGCCCATTGCAATGTACCATGCATGTTCTTCCTGAGCTCTTTGCACTTGCTCCTTTCCCTACACTCTTGGAAAAGTTGGTAAGACAGAATGTCATGTCACATCTACACTTGCAATTAAATGTTCTCTTTCCTCGTATAGTATTGCAACCCCAAGAACAAATCACATAAAACTAAACCATTAATTTACTATGTAATTTAGTTGCTACTGGCACTGCAAGCATCAGCCCATCTCACCCACTGTCCTTCAGTTTTGACAATGTTTCTGTACCTTCCTGCACTGCTCTTCATTTCCCCCAGCCGTGCCTTCTGGTTTGTGCTAATGTAAAAACACTTCCATGCAATATGCTGCTGCAAGATCCTCATTTTCCAAATATATCCAATCCCACTGCTGTATAAACGTATATGGAAACACTGCTTACTACAGAAAAATGTTTAAACCTTCACTTGGCCCGAAGTTTCTACAAAGGACTTCTGGATTTTATATTTTGGAATGTACTTACAGTTCAACACATGGTCAAACATTCTTCTCGTAGAAGTGTGGCCCTCCTGTGGGCATATCCCAGACCTCACAGGAAGGCTCCTCAAGACAAGCTGTGCCCAAAATATGACACCTGTGCAGTGGAGAACCAGCCCAGACAAAAAGAAGACAAAGATGCTCTGCTCATGTTACAATTGGATGCATTGCATTGTCTCCCATCAAGGCACAGATGGCTGGGGTGTGAGAAAGACTAGACAAACATTCCCGGATTCCCAGAGAATGACCACAACTCTGGGAATCATAAAGTCACAGTGAAAAGTAAACTGACTTTAAAAACAATTTTCTGCCAGAAGAAGAGAAAAGTCACGGCTTACCACTGTGAGCTCAAAGTACACCAATGACCAATTTAAACTACGTAGAAGATCAGAGATGGAAGGCCATGCCTATTTTGGCAGCTCCTGATAATTCAAATTATTTATGCAATGCTGAATATACTCACGAGAAAGCCAGCAGGAAGAAACTTACCTTGTCATGCCTCTTAAGACATGATTTGGCCAAAAATGATGCACATTTATAGTGGCGTTCAGTCAAATCTATATAATGAATATCTTTATTGTCTCTCTGTACGCTGAGGCTGATAACCAGGTCACAAGATAATTGAGAGGTGGATCAGATTCATAATTACCTTTCTTATTAAAAGGGTGGATATATATGGACACATACACATGGCAGTGGGGCTGGAACGAGATAATCTTTAAGGTTCCTTCCAACAGAAGTCATCCCGTGATTTTATTAAGATAAAAAGACACAACCTAGTGCCTGCAGGTAGCAAGGGCTGAAATTGCATTGAAAACCGTAAGATGAAACAAGTACAAAGATTCAAGACCTGAGTCCAACAATGTTTGCTGAGGGGAAAAGGACAGATCAGATGGTGAACAGGCTGGAGCTGACACAGCTGCAGAAAGTGTGGCTCTCCATCACCTACCTTCAGGGAGAAAGTACATCAGGGTCAGATTTAACAACCACAGAAATAATAAAAAATTCTTCCACTAATTTTCCTTCCATGGGCTGAAATATGAAAAATCCACCTACCAAATTGCCAGTGATGCCTTCAGCCAGTCAGTGTTGGAGGTTAGGACTTTTTCCTTTTTTTTGTAGTGCTTTGATCTCTTCTCTCCCGCTTCCTATGTATGGACAGGTCATACATGTCCAGCAGATCTATGGGCATGTTCCTAAAGGCTTCTGACAACTCAGTTCTCACACTATTGTAGCAGTAGGTGATAGGTAATTACTCTGTGTAATGTGTCTTTATCCTTCTCCAGTTTTCCCATTTTCTCTGACTTCTATGTCCAGGTATGCATTTCCCTTCTTCCCTCCCGCCCCATCTCCATCTTGTCTCCTCCCCGCTCCCTATTTTTGCTCCCAGCACAGAATAAACACAAAAGGTTGGATCTGGCACCTCTAACAGACCCAGTTAAGGACCAGCTTTCCTGTAGCAGCTGCCTGAGCACAGGAAGCTTTGGTAGCCCACCTTGCTGGAGAAAGGGGCACCATGGCAGAAGGCGGAGGAGCATGTCCCATCCAGCAGCTCATCACAGGGACACAGGGATTCACCGGCTGCTGAACCTGTTGGAGCAGAGGGGCATCCTGGGATGGGCCACACCTAGCCTGTTACTGCTGAGGTCTAACACCTGTAACCCCACCAGGTGCCTTGGTGCAGCCACACAGAAAATCCAGGGCTGGTTCAGACCTGCCTGCATGCAGCTCCCCTCCCCTCCATGCAAGATTGCTCACTGAGGCGCAAGAGTGGGGCAAGACATGATCCATATACACCAGGTATATGACTCATTTAACCATCTTTTATTCGGGTTTCTTTTTTTATTTTGCTGTTTTTTGTTTTTTGTTTCTTTTTCTTTAAAAGCAGTGTGTTAACATCAGGTATTTTTCTACGTTTTCAGACTCTGTACAGGTCTTAAAAGGAAATAAGCAATGCTTAATGTACAAAGTAAAACCAGAAAACTAGAAAAATCTGAATAAAATGGAGCAAGTTGCTGTCAGGGATACAGTACAAATTAGTAATTAGATGTCATCTGAAGTGCAATACCACTGCAGTAAGGATGAGTCAAGGAATGAAATAAAAATACTCTATTTTAAACAAACAGTATATATATATATATTTATATATATATATTTATATGTATATATTTTACAGATAGTAGACCCAGTGATATCTGTAGAATTGTAAAAACATATTTACAAATGACTTTTTTTTAAACATTACATATACATCAGCACCATAGTAAGAAAGAAAAAAAAAAAAAAAGCCCCAGTCAGCCCAAATCTAATAAAATCTATTCTCTAGTACTTGATCCCAGTACGGAGTATTTGGAGGAAGCTTTACAAAGACAACTTCACCACCATACATCATCAAGGCCTGTATCTCCCCCATGCACTCTGGCTTGCATTGGCTGCTGTGTGGTGGATGTGTGTTTCCAAGTCCTCCTTCCACACCTCCGTGTTGAGAGGTGAGCCCTGCTCGCTCCCACCCAGGGCATGGGTGCTGTGCTGTCCCCAGCACTGTCCCCTGCCCAGCAGGGTGGCTGTCTCCTCACCCTGTCACTGCTCTGTCACACAGGTGTGTACCCCATGCTCATGATGTCACACTCAGAGCCACAGCACCCTTCTCCCAGTGTTTGCCTATCCCTTCGGTTCTGACCAAGAGATGCTGACCCACAGGATGAACCAAAAACTTTGGCTGGTGCTCCCTTTCACTGAATTAGGGCCCAACCTGGCTCCTGCTGAAGCAGCAGGCATGCTAACCATGCTCATGACCCTCAGCAGGAGCTGGAATTGGCCTTTGTGCTGTATTTTATAAAGGGGTCAGCTGAAAGAGATGTGATTAAAGCCATTTAAAAAAATGTAGCAGTCAGGGCAGGCTGGACTGATGGCTCACCTTGAGCATATTAAAAATGCAGCTTGTCCTGCTGCATTGCAGCATTTAGAACAGGTAATTCCCCCCACTAGGCAACCACAGCAAGGGAAATTGCCAAAAGGGAGCCTCAGTGGGGCACCGAGATGGTTCCAGACTCATTTGCTCTCCCTCTTTAAAGTGATGCATGTCTGTGCTCCACAGGGAAAGGCAGGACGTGAAACTGCCAAGTGCCAAGGCCCTCAGCCTCCATGGAATTCAGGGGCTCAGCACTTGGCATTGCTGGGCCCAGGGACAGCAGCACAAAAGGAGATGATCAGGAGCTGGGGAATTGGGACTGGCACTGACACTGCTGAAGAGCACGACTCATGGCTCACAGAGGCCAGTGCTAGGCCAGAGAGTGCTAAAGGTCTGGACTCTGGGTCAAGTTAACATTTCTTATATGCACAACTATATAACCTGATGAACAGCTCTTAGCTGAAAACACGAAAGAGGTAATAGGTTCCAGCAAACAGCCTCCACCTGCAGTTTGGGAGCCCTGCTGCACACACTCACCAAGACTGGTGACTTCAGTGTTGTGTGAGATTTGTCACAACTCCATCACAGGGCTGCTCAGCACTGGTCCAAACAGTGGAGATGGTGATACATCCCTATTATCTTAAACCTTATTTGGGCAGACCCCGTGTTTGTAATATCAATTATTTTATCCACTCTTGAATGTTCTTTACAGCAGTCCTCCACTGACTCCTGTTCTTCAAATACTGCAGTGAATTTTATTCTAGTAAACCAGAGAGATTAGACCAAACATCTGTTTAAAACTGAACATATCACATGGAGAGCCCAGACACCCTGGGATAATACTACCTGCCAAACCTGCACTTTTCCAGAGGGGAGGAGAGAGTCTTCCTGTGTGCCAAACCCTCACTGTATGTTTTCTCATGCTTGTTTTCTCCTCCCCTGCCTGGCCCTTGCCTAAAAAAAAAGTGCAGCCAGCTCAGCTTGCTTTACACTGAAGGAACAGGAGGGGAAGGGAGTGAACTGAGAACATTCTGGGGAGGAAGGAGAGGGAAGGACCAGCTGAGGAGCTCTGCTGACGTCTCTTGGTACCTCTCAGCCCTTCAACACTCCAGGCAGCTGAGCCACGCCAAGTGCTCTGACTTGGGAAGCACTATTTCAAGTCCCAAGGGGACTAAGCAGTTCATTAAATTAACCCACCACTAGGCTGTCTCCAGCAGCAGTTGCATAATCAATCTGCCCTCAACACTGCCAAATTTATGTTCTTCTGTGCTTGTAGTGGGGTTTATCACTCTGCAGTGAAAATGGTGACCTCCCTGTGATTGTTTAGGTTTGTCATGTGAGTGCTGTGCATTCCCTCAGGACAGCCCAGAGCCAGCCCCATCAGCCTGGCCATGGCTCTCCCAGACCTGCCTGCCCCTGGGATTAAGCCCATTTCTGACCAGGGCCTGTGCAATCACCCTGGATATCTGTAGGCTTTGCTCCCAGCTTTTCCATCTGCTTCCCTGGAAGCTGCAATGTGCACAATCACATAAGGTGGGAGATGTTGGGACCACCCCAAACCACTGTGCAATGAAGCCTTGTTTTAAGTGGGGAGAGAAGGAATTTTCCCAGCCAGACACATCAGCTGGCATTTCCAGTTTCCCCATTCTGCCTTTCACACACACAGAGTGGGCGCTGCCACGCAACAAAGATTGCTTGGTGACAGTTTTGGGATGCTGATGTTCTCATCGTCCCCTGAATCTTCTAAAGTTGGCTACAGATCAGCTCGGTTTGCACAATTTAAAACAAAAGAAAACAAAATTACCCCAAACCAAACCAACACAAACAAAACCAACAATCCAGGGATGGGGAGAACATCCAACTCCCTCTTTGCTCGTTCAAACGTAACAAAATGCAACCAAAGCTCCAGACTATACAATCCCATTCACTGGGGGTTTCCAAACAACTCATCAAGTTCTTGAATCCACTCATCCCCTGGTCCGCTCTTAATAATGGAGTCCACAAGGTCTGTGCCTTCTGCTAAACTGGAGAATGACCCCCCTGCTCCTCCATTACTGTAGTTGTAAGATACGTCCTGAGTGGGATTCCTCTCGTAGGCCTGTCCTTGGCCGCTCTGAGCAAAGGAACCCCCTGGCATTTGCTGCGTTGGGGGCTGACTGAAGCCTGACATGGCCGGGACCCCTTGGCTTATTGCTGGCATCACCATCGGCCTGGCCTGGCTGGCTGCCTGCTGCCCAGGGAGGGGCTGCAGCAGCTGTCTCCCCATGGCTGGGTTCAGGGCTCTCACTGTCCCACTCGTGTCCACAACCGTCTGGTTGAGTCCCTGTGGGAAGTGCTGCTTGGACAGCCGTGGCTGCCCGGACGGCATCGTGTACGCGGTGCCGTTGTTGAAGGGCCCCATTTCACCGCTAGTCCTGCCAGGTATGCCTTGCAAGCCTCGCTGCTGCCAGCTTTGTGTTCCTTGAGGGACGGCCCCCATCAGGTTCTGAAGCCGTGGCGCTTGTGGCCTTGGCAAGACCTGGCCCACAGGTCCTTTCATCTGCTGCTGGTGCTGGGGAAGAGCAGAGTTTACCAGCATGTTCTGACCAAAATTGCCAACCATTCCCACCGCTTGTCCGGAGGCAGGCTGCCTTGTTCCCTGGCCTGCGCCGTGTGCCATGCTCATGCCGCTTTGGTTTGGGTGCTGCAACATTTGGCTCATCCCTGTGCTCATACTGTACATTCCTGGCTGGCTGGAAGAGGCATTGCTGTAAGGAGTCATGCCCATATCCGACTGGCCCGCAGTGGTGGGCAGCGTGCTCGGGGGCTGGGAGGGACCCATGGCCATCATGCTGGCGTTCTGGGCCATCATTCGGGACGTCCTCATGCTCTGCAGCGCTACTTGGTTTCTCACAGCCACTATATCCTGGGGTGAACCTGCACCAAAAAGGGAGGAAGGTAAGAAAAAGCCCACAACCCTGCAAATCTTAATTAACACACTTTTGCATAAGACAGAATATGTAGGAGCGTCCTTGGCAGCACTTATCTTCTTCAGCTACACCTAATTCAGCTTCTAGCAGGCAAATGGAAAAACTTCCACCAGTCTTCGTCATTAGCAGCAAAGCAGCTGAACTTCAGCTTACCATTTGAAGCTCTCCTTTGAATATCTCCATTGTCTTTCAAAAGTAAGCCTTGAAAATGGAAATGTCAGTCTCAGAAGGCCAATCAATTTTTTTAATAGCTCAGGAGGCATAAATGAATGGATTTTCTATAGCATAGCTACTGATTAATTCTATGGAAAGAAGAAAAATTGGGTTTTTGTGGACATTGAAAGCAGGGAGAGTGTATTAGTGAATCAATACTATAAGCACATTTTACTTCACCTTAGGCCAGTGATGGGAAACCAGAAAATCCTAGCCTTGTTAAATTCCACACTGTGACAGATAACCATGCTTGTGTCTGACTTTCAGGGGTAGGGGGAAGCTATTGATTTCTGGGGAGCCAATATGCTTCTGTATTTACTATCTTTAAATAAAGACAATTACCTGGAGCTCAGATCATGCCATGGGTTCATTGTGGATTTTTCACTACCAAATACAACAGTCAGGTTTGAGTCACTAACTAAATAGTCAAATTCTTCAGATTTAAGTCACTGACTAAATACAGCACTCGGCAGGTGAAGCTCAGAGTGTATGAGGCACACAGTTGCTCCAGGCTCAAATGTTATTAAATGCCAGGTATAAATAGAAAATCATTGCTTAAGAGTACAGAACCGTACAACAGGATCTGAATGTTCCTAAATCAGCCTCTATCTGTTGTCCCTCAGTGGCAGACAACATCCCTGAACATCCGTGGGGAGTGGAGAACACTGTTCCCTCTTGTTGATGTTGGCTTGGTTTCCATGAGAAATAGGTCTGGATAAAGGAAGCAACATTTCTATACATGTCACTCTATTACCTAACACAGAGGATGGCTACAACTCCATTTTCTGCAGCACCACAAGCTTCTGGTGGATGCTTTTAGCTCCAGCACACAGCTAAATTAAACATTTTGTAGCATGAAGTGAGACCATCTGGATCCCACTGGAACAGACCACATGTAGTGGCAGCTTTTACTTTATTCATGCTATCAAACTGCTCTCTTAATGACTGGCACTGGGGTTCCCTTGATTTTTCTTAACTTAGATCAGCTCCCTCCATGATTAGAAATAGTTTTTTTACCACAGCTCCAGCAAGTGCTTAAGGTACAGATAATGTTAAAATCTTAATGCATCTTTAGCTATTTTTTAATTGAGAATGGCAGTTGAAAAGCTCCAAAGGAGTCACCAACAGCACGTGGTTCACATACTACTTTTGTTAACTACTGTACTTGGCATAAGTGACAGGAGATCAGACAAGGAGTAGTTAAAAGAGAGATGCAACAGATTTCAAGATTTTAGGCCACCTTCTGGTCTCACTTACACATAACCTACTGCACTGGATTACCTTCATGTGACTAAAAAAGAAAAAATGGTGAAGTATTTAAATTAGTTCATTTATGAAAATGAATTCTTTGCTCTGTCCGATTAGCCTAAATTCTCTTCTCTGTTTCTTTTAAATAATACATACAAAGGCAGTGTTTCAAAGAAGCATGAATGCAGAGAGATTGTATGTGTGCATCTCAGTAGATGGCTGTGCACACACACTTCTTGATTTTGGAACTGAATTATTGTAAAAGTAATTTCATACAGAACTTATGGTACCAAAGATAAAAATGAGGAGGTGATTAGAAGAATCCACCCTGATATATGCCAGTGGAAGATGTGGATGCCTTTTCACATCCTGGGAACCTGGCAATGTGAAATGTCCAGAATTGCCTCCCGTGTTTTCTGTTGCATCTACATGATATTGTCATGAATATACAGCTCAAGTGTGTCTTCATTCCATGTCTACATAGAAATCAGTGAAGACATTCAGCTGATGCTTTACACCTAAAAAGCACAGAATTAACTTATTTTCCCAAGCCGAAATGAGTGCACTTACATTCTTCAGTTATGTGGGAGCACACCAAAATAATACTTATGCTTCTTTTGAGATAATTTAAAAAATCTCTATTTACATCTCAGATATTTCAGTTTCCCATACCTGGCATTGATCAGTCCCTTCCCCAGATAAGCATGACCTCTCTGAAATTCTCAGCTCATCGAATCAGATAAAGTGGGGAATGACAAGATGCACTCAGAAATGCTAGCAGGAATAAAACCTCCTAAGAGTAGAGGCCAACAAGATAAATCCATGAATGAATCCATGACATCTGGATGTCAAAGAGGCAAAACAAATGTCAAGGAAAAAAAAAAGATAGAGAAAAAGCAAGCAGTTTTCACTGAACAGAGCAGAAAGGAAAATATAAACTTAACTGAATATGCAAACTTGGGCATTCCCCTTTGGTAAAATATGTGGTGTGTGCCACAGCCTGTATTCCTCTTTTGGCACACTGCTTAAACCCTAGTAGTCACAAACTGCACAAGCTTTCACACATTTGCTATCTGAAGGGCATTGACTGCAAAACAAGAAAAACAATTTGACTTTTACCTTGGAATTGATTGACCTGTTGCACTGGGTATGGGCTCCGCTGCTGATGCAGATGCTGCCGAGGCAAATGTGACTGCTGCTGCATCTGCTGGAAATGGAGGAGGAAAGAAAGCAGAAGAGAAAGAGATGATTAATTAATTAATGGGCTGGTGGCAAAGTTGCAGAACTTGCAGTGGTTCTTATCTGGTGAGGTGTTCTGCAGAGAGAGGCAGAGTCATCTGGAGGGTTCTCCTCACAGCACTTGGGATACCCAGCACTTAGACTCTTTTTGGCTCAAAAAGGAACATGCACTGAAGCCAACATCATTGCTCCTTACCTACAGCCACTTCATCCTGACCTCTACAGCATGAGCTGAACTATCTTCAGGCAGAAAGGAAAGGGAGGGATGTGAACTAACTTTGCTCACCTAGGTCTAAGGTCAACTGTATCCACACACACTTTCCTTCCCTCAGTCCTGCCAAGGTCCAGAGGTTTGTGTTCCTGCTGCAAGACTTTGCTCCATGTCTGCACTAACAACACTCAGCTGGCAAGGATTACTGCATCCTGACCCAAGCACTGCAGCCTTGGAACATTCCTGAGCCAAACTAGAAATGGACTACTAAAGCACATTTCCTCTTGTGCTTCAGTGAATGGTATTTGGGGAGTGGTGACTGCAAAATGCTCCCTTGATCCAGACCACATTGCTCCTCTGTGGTTGTTTTCTATGAATACTTGTGAATATTTTAAAACAGAAGCAAGGGCTGATTATAAAAACAGAGCTTTCAGATGCTAAGGTGTACTCAATTAAGCACTTACTGAAGGGGCATGTCTTGGAGCATCATCTGCATCTGTACGAATGCTGTGTCCAAAACCAATGATGTGTAACAAAGGTAGGAGAATGGCAGAGATAGGAAGGAAGGAAGTACTAATCTCTGCATTCATAAGTATGTGTTACACACTATCAGAAAGAAAGAGGGACTCTTGTTAGGGACAAACTACCCCAAAGTTAGGTGCCTGAGGACTGTGACTTTACCACTTTTCATCTCTGAAAAGTGTGCCAGCACACTTGAGAGCCTTAGCTTGGTGGCCTTTTAACACTTTTGGGCTTGCCTTCAGCATCCAAGTCACTAATTGGCTCTTGGCTTTATGCATATGAATTGGCCCAATCCATGGGATGCATTACTGCATCCTCACTCTCGTGCACTTGTTCACACTTGAATCAGTTCAGGCATCTTCATCCTAAATATTTCTAGGAGCATCCTCCCTGTTCACCGAGAGTAAATTTTTCTGTTTCTCAGGAGCAAGAAGATAAAGGGGGGGAGGCAACCTGTATTTCTGTGGTTACATGGCATGCATGTGTTCTAACACAAATTCAAGCAGATGATCTTAAGCCGTTTTTCCTTTGCAAGAGAGAAGCAAAGCTTAAAGCAACTGCTGACCTACCAGATCATTATCTAAGTAACATTAGGGGGCTGCAACTTTAAACTTGGGTGTGATCTTGTAGGAAGTCAACAGTGTGCTTTTCCTCTGGCTTTCTCTTGGGCTGCTTTAAAACTACAGCTGAATTAAGCATACACCACTGTTCAGACTGCATAGTTTAACATCCATATTGCAAAGCCCAGGAGCTCAGGAAGCCAGGTGATAGCTCCAATGCAGTTCTTCCACATTGCCACGGCCAGAGCTGCTTTCACTGTTCTCCCACTACAGGCTCTGGTTCCCCCCTTGCTGCTGTCTCTCCCTTGTATGACCTAATTGCTCCTACAATCAATAAACCAGATTAAGGAATTGGCCTGGGTAAATAGTAACATTTTTCTTCACTAAGTCTTCTTTTAACCCAGGTCCATTCTTTGTCCCAGATCCCTGTGCAGCTGTGCACAGATTTTGCCAGTGCAAGACCACAGTCAGAGCTAGGGGAGAGGACCTGTGACTGTAACTGCAGCAGAGTCTGCTTCTGCTGGAGTAAATGCACCATTAGATGCCAGGTTAAGAGCTAACTTTTCCAGAGCCTAACGTGGCTATCAAGCCCAATATTAGAAACATGGATAATATTTACCAAGCTAATGGTTGGACTGATACAGTGGTTGCTGAAACACCCTGGAGGACGCACAGAGAGAGAATCCCCAAATCCAGAAGGAAGGGCTGGTGCTGCACTGTCTGTAGTGCCCGTGCTCATTCCATACTGTACCTGCTCCGCTAGGATCTGCTGCTGCTGCTGCTGCCTCTGCTCCCGGAGAAACTGCTGCTTCTGCTGCTCCATCACCTGGAGCTGCGCTCTCTGCTCGATCAGCATCTGCTTCATGATGGCTGCCTGGGGCTGGCTCCCAAGGAAGTGTCCCCCGGAGCTGGTGCCTGTGACCATGCTGCTGGAACCCGCCGGGACAGAGGGCTGCATGGGCCCCGTGGGCCGGGACAATCCCACCTGGTGCTCCTGTGAAAACAGAGAGGGAATGCCTTGTTACACAGGCAAGGGAAAAGGGAATGCCTTGGTACTGAGTGCTCCACAGGTAAAGGAAGAGGGAATGCCTTGGTACTGGGTGCTCCACAGGCAAGAGAAATCCCAGCTCACCAAGCTGAGGAGGCACAGAGTCCCATAGGTGAAGCCTGGAGAAAGACGGAGCCGTGGACTGCTCCCCGCAGGGAATAGTTTCCTCTTTTCTCCTGGAATTTAAGGCCCCGCAAGTAAAGCAGGAGCCCTTTATAATTAATTAATAGTGAAATAATGAAGTTGTGAGCTAAGTTTTTTTCGTGCTTTAGAGTCATGTTTTTCTAAACTTTTTCTCCCTTCTCAAGGAGACAAGTATATTTTCTCTTCCTTTCTATTGTAACAGCAATTTAACATAGCCCCCCAGAACTGAGGAGCAATTTAACAGCCCCCCAGAACTGAGGAGCAATTTAACATAGCCCCCCAGAATTGAGGAGCACACAACCAATAGTGGGAGATGGCAGCACTAATTCTTCTCCAGAAGCTCAGGATTTAACTCCATTATGTGTTTATTCAAGATTTCCATCCTGCAGCACTGGACCAGTGTGTGTGGCTGGAAGGAACCAGGGCAAGCGTCTTCTCTGCACACACCCCACTCTCTCTTCATGTTCTAAATCCCATTTGCCGCCTTTTAGCGCTGGGAAAAGCACCGGCGAAAGGTGGGGAGGGAAATCCCAACCCGCGTCCCGGCGGAGGGACGGGACCAGGGTCGAGATCGGGGTCGGGATCAGCGGCGCCATCTGGGCGCTGCCGCCGCCGGCAGGTGGCGCTGCTGACTCGCGGCCCTGCCCGAGCGGGGCCGAGCGGGACCGAGCAGAGCCGAGCGGGGCCGAGCGAGGCCGAGCAGAGCCGAGCGGGGCCGGCTCCTCCCGGGAACTCCGGGGAGCATTCCCGGGAGTTGGCTGAAGTCTCCCGAGCCGTCACCGCCCAGCTCGAGGCTGTCCCGCAGCCATGGCAAACGGGATTCACCGCCAGAGCTCCTAGGGTCTCGACCCGGGTCCACGCCGTCCCTAATGCTCTGTCTGGAAACCAGAGACTGCACGTCCCGTCCTTATCTCGGGTGTTGAGTCCGTAGAACCTCTTCAGCTGATGAACAGGGACGACAGGGACTTATTCAAAACTGACGGAAAGGTCCTGTGTCATCATCATCATCACTTTAGCATCCTTTGTGCAAAGCCTGCCAGGGTGATGTTCAGATTCACCTGCCTCGCCGGGTGTTTGCGATATGTCAGTCACTGTGTGATCTGGGTGTACAGAAAGGTTGTCGTGCTGCACCCACCCCAACCCAGTCAGAGAAAGGGTTAAGTTCAATGCTGGAGTGTAGCTTGGGAAATGAGGATCAGCCTTTCTGCATGAAGGTCAGGTTTTCAAGGACCCCGAGGAAATAACAAAATACAATTTGTCCACATCTCTACTTTTCACAGATACTCCCTGCAGGGCTCTCTGCTGAAACGCAGCTCTCTGATAGGGGTTCTTCCCCCTTTTAACATCTCTCTTGGTTTGAAAGTTCTCTCCCTGTTCCTCTTTCCACTTCTCCCCCAGTCCCATCACCCACTGCACTTTGCACTTTACAACCTGGTCAAGCACGGTCCCCGCAGCATCCCAAGGGCCAGGGCTGCAGCACTGGCTGGGTCTCCCCCAAGCTGGGGTCAGGGAATCACTGAGGATCCTTCAGCTGCTCCTGCACCAAACCCTTCACCCACCCCTGTCGATGAGCTCCTGCTTTCTTTGCTTTGGGGGGGACACACGCATTTCTTGGCTGTCTCCAGCAGAGCTGATGGCAAAGGCTTTTTCCTACCACCCCCTGGCCCTCCCCCGGCTTCTGATGAAGTCATCAAGCTACCAATTGCATAACTGATGCACAGGACTATCCTGTGTTATACTGGGATATGGGCCAACTGCTTCCATTTATAGACAAAAGCAGGGCCATGCTGCCAAAATAACAGAGCCTTTGCTGCACCCACTACAAGGCAAAGAAAAAGGAGGGGAAAAACCCCAGGAGCTGAAGTGCATGCTGTGAAGTGACATCCCTTGGAGCTTCCTCTGCGAGCTTCAGTGCACAGCTGCCTTTGGGGCTGCAGACCAAGTCCTTGTTGAATTGCCTTTAAAAAAAAAAATCTTCCTACAGATCTCCTGTCCTGGCTTCTAATGCACACAGCTGAGGGACATGTTCACCCCACACAGAAAGCACTCCATTCTCTGATGGATTATGCTATAAATTAATTCTGGAGTTTAAAAGGAAGAAAGCTTTGAAAGGAGCCCCACTGGCTGACATGAGCCTGGTGCACTGTAGCCACAGCAGCTGAAGGAAATGCAAAGATTAGCACACAGGTGTCACTTCCAGTGCTGTGTGTTTAGTCATTTCAAGGTACATCATGAAAACTTCCTGTTTCTGTTAAAGCCAGGCCTTCTTCATCTAGACCACCCTCCTGTCCAGAACATTTCTTCTCCTTTCCTTTCTTTTCTTGGCAAAAGCTCTTCCCAACTGATGTGAAAGGGCCCTTCTGAGATCACTGGGAGCAGCCCTGGGTTGTGTATCCTGAAAATAAGAGCACAGCCCAGGTGAAAGGTCTCTGCAGGCAGGAAAATGCTCCCTAGCACCTGGTAGCAGAGCTCTTTCCCCAGCACTTTAGCAGCCTGGCACTGCTGCTGCTATCCTCCAAGGGGAGTGTGTGTAGATGACACCTGGCAATGGGCAATGTGGCAGGGAATTGGGGATGGAGGAAGCAACACTGGACTCTACATGGCTGCCTCTTACAAGCCATGGCAGCTCCAGACCCAGATGCAGTCTCACCACAGAAGCTGAACACCAAGTCAAGCAACTCAGGCTAAATGCAGCACTTCCACACCTACAGAGCTTAAAAACCAAACTAATCCAAACTTCACTGACAACCCTCTTTGCTCCTGCTCTGCCTGACTGCTCCCTCCTACTGTACCCTGAGCCTTCCTTCTCCTCCTCCTCATTCCCTGCTATCCCTTTCTCCTTCCTACACCCTCTGCATTTTCCTTTCTCTACCAACTGGCACTGGTAGCTCTTTTGTCACTCTCCAGACACCCCCATCAGCACCCAGCCTGTAGCTGCATATCAGCCTTGCAGCTTCATATCACCCATGCTTGGTGTCCCCAGTGGCTTGGCTCTCCCAGGGATCTGCAGCAGCAAGGGGACTGCCCAGCTCTTTCCCCCAGGGCCCTGTGCTCATGTGTGCACAGGGGTGTCCTGAGGACAGGTAGTCCGTGAAGAGAGTGACAAGATGCCCTGGAAGGCAATACACAGATTGTATTCTGGCTCTTTTTAACACCACCCAAAGCCACTGTGTGCTGCTCTCAGGCTGCAAACAGCTCTCTCCTGCTAACAGTGGCTCCAGCAGAGTCATTCCAGTCGGGAGCAGTGGTGCTGCAGCTCTGCTGCAGGGTCCTCACCGAGGGACAGGTGAAGCCAAGAGCTGGTTACATAAAGGGAGGTTGGTGCCAAGGCCTCTCAGCTGTGACACAGAGAGAGTTCAAACACAGGCTGGCCCTGCCCCTGCAGCCTCAGCTGTCCACTTTTAAGGCAGCCCAGGACAGAATTAAGCCCCTGGGAGCAAAAGCAGGTATTGCAGGAGCCAAAGAGCTGCCTGTTCACAGAACTGTTTCCAAATGGTCAGCATAACATACTTGGACAGGTTTGTAGAGCTGCAGGGCACCAGGTAAAATGAACTTGTGCAGGGATCTGACTGCTTACTTAATGCCTCCACGAGAGTTGCCCCTATGGATAATCTGATCCTTAGTCAAATGACAGGAAGATAAATCCTGTGTCCTCCCAGAGTATTTCCAGGCCTCTACTGGACTGATACTCTGGAGTGGAATACCCTGCAGGAGCTCAGAGTAACATGTGTGATATGTATAGCTAGGCACAGTAAAAGGATAACAAAGGGGAGGGGAAACGAGATTTTCCTCTTTGTCTCAAATCTTACATGCCTCTTCCTTATCATGCAGTAATTTATTCCTTCTGCATGTCATTCAATCCCCCAACTGCAGCTAAAAGCAATCATACAATTTCCTTTCAGAACAAGCAGAACGACCACCAGCTGAAGCCCCAAGAGCCAGGCAGGGACACCCAAGCCTGCCCATTATCCCTCTGTGCACTGATAGACGTGGAGGAGCCAGCTCTGCTCCCACTGAAGGCAAAGAGGCCAAAGTGGCACCTCAGAGAAAAGGGGGGCTGTTCCAGGCAACTACTGGCAGTAATCAACAGAGGATGGGTATTCCACATCTGGGAACAAAGCGTTGCCCAAAAAGCTGAGAGAGGCATAGACTGGAAAGCAGGGTTGTGAATGTGTAAAATGGACAAACAGACATAATTTTCTGTGCTGTTCTGTGTCATGTGAGAGAATGGATATTGAATATAAAAAGCAAACAGAAGCCAGGAGGTAGCTTATCCTGCACACTGCATCAGAAGAATGACACTAGAAAAATGTATACGATCAGACATCTACATTTTAGAGTCGGAGCAGAAAAAATAGACAAAAAAAATGATTTGTGGCAGAAAATGCCTGCCAGCGAGTGACTTAAAGAGCTCAATCCATTTAGCTTACCACAAAAAGAACGGAGAGATGCTTTGACCATGGTGGATAAAAATACCTTCATGAGGGAAGAAATTCCTTAAAGAGCTCTTTTATCCAGCAAAGAAGGCAAAACCAGATGCAAGGACTGGAAGCTGAAGACAGATTCAAATCAGAAAGAAGAATCACATTTTTACCCTCTGATTCCATTACCCATCAGAAATGGCAGATCTCCACAATTTGATGTCTTCAAGGATGAATGCCTTTCTGGATGAGCACAAGTGCACTGTGTCCACTAGTGCAGTGGAATGGGTGTGATGTGCAAGGCAGAGCAGCACTGTCTGCCCTCACCTCTGCACACCCCTGAGCTGCTGCTGGGGACACAGGCACTGCCTGCATGTCTGT